TAGTTCGAGAAATTATTTTTCAAACAATTGATAGTTCGAGAAATTATTTTTCAAACAATTGATAGTTCGAGAAATTATTTTTCGAATTTGATAGTTTTATTTTCGAACAATTGATTGTTCGAGAAATTATTTTTCAAACAATTGATAGTTCGAGAAATTATTTTTCAACAATTGATAGTTCGAGAAATTATTTTTCGAGTTTGATAGTTCGAGAAATTATTTTTCGAGCAATTGATAGTTCGAGAAATTATTTTTCGAGGAATTGATTGTTCGAGAAATTATTTTTCAAACAATTGATAGTTCGAGAAATTATTTTTCAAACAATTGATAGTTCGAGAAATTATTTTTCGAGCAATTGATAGTTCGAGAAATTATTTTTCGAGCAATTGATAGTTCGAGAAATTATTTTTCGAGCAATTGATAGTTCGAGAAATTATTTTTCGAGCAATTGATAGTTCGAGAAATTATTTTCGAGCAATTGATAGTTCGAGAAATTATTTTCAAACAATTGATAGTTCGAGAAATTATTTTTTAATAGTTCAAAATTATTTTCGAATATAGTTCGAGAAATTATTTTCGAGCAATTTATAGTTCGAGAAATTATTTTTCAAACAATTGATAGTTCGAGAAATTATTTTTCAAACAATTGATAGTTCCAGAAATTATTTTTCAAGCAAATGATAGTTCGAGAAATTATTTTCAAACAATTGATAGTTCGAGAAATTATTTTTCAAACAATTGATAGTTCGAGAAATTATTTTCAAACAATTGATAGTTCGAGAAATTATTTTCGAGCAATTGATTTCGAAATTATTTTCGAGCAATTGATTAGAAATTTTTTTCAAACAATTGATAGTTCGAGAAATTATTTTCAAACAATTGATAGTTCGAGAAATTATTTTTCAAACAATTGATAGTTCGAGAAATTATTTTCGAGCAATTGATTATTTTTCAAATTATTTTTCGAGCAATTGAGAGTTCGAGAAATTTTTTCGAGCAATTGATAGTTCGAGAAATTATTTTTCGAACAATTGATAGTTCGAGAAATTATTTTCGAGCAATTGATAGTTCGAGAAATTATTTTCGAGCAATTGATAGTTCGAGAAATTATTTTCAAACAATTGATAGTTCGAGAAATTATTTTCGAGCAATTGATAGTTCGAGAAATTATTTTTCAAACAATTGATAGTTCGAGAAAATTATTTTAAATTAAAACAATTAATAGTTCGAGAAATTATTTTTCGAGCAATTGATAGTTCGAGAAATTATTTTTCGAGCAATTGATAGTTCGAGAAATTATTTTTCAAACAATTGATAGTTCGAGAAATTATTTTTCAAACAATTGATAGTTCGAGAAATTATTTTTCGAGCAATTGATAGTTCGAGAAATTATTTTTCAAACAATTGATAGTTCGAGAAATTATTTTTCAAACAATTGATAGTTCGAGAAATTATTTTTCGAGCAATTGATTTCGAGCAATTTACCTAGATCCATATATATATATATATATATATATATATATATATATATATATATATATATATATATATATATATATATATATATATATATATATATATATATATATATGGTACCCCAAAAAAACAGGAAATTTGGTACAGTTTATTTAATTGCTGGAATTTTTGTATCACTTATTTGAAACAAATTATAGAAATTTAGTAGCTTAAAACAAAAACAAATGGTAGATGTGGCGTTAAAATTAAGTATACAAGTATTTATATATCTGCATATAATTTCTTGGGGAGGGACGGTGGAGTAATGAACAGCGTCTCGGATTGGGGAATCGGAGAGCCGAGTTCGAGTTCCAATCGGATCCATTCACTTAGTTTCCCCTTCTTCTCCTCTTCTCTCCCACCAGCTATGGGTAAATAGCAGGACAGACAGCGTTCTATAGCCTTATGGCATCCGGTCTAGGCGATGGAAACTCTGAATTCAAACCGCCCTGGAGAGAGTTGGTCTCCGTCAGGCTTTCTTGCCCAAGAAACACCACTTCCACCACTACTGCGACTGCACTACATGTGGTGCCCCTACGACCCTGATAAGTTACAGGATTCGCGAATTTCTTATAATATATAAATTTCTTTGGGAATCATTCCTTTCTTTCGGATATTCTGCTTCCGTTCCGTTACTATATTACCAAAATCAAACAAGTGCGGAATTTTAAGTATCTGGGAAGTGTTTTAACAGAGGACGTAAAGAACGACACTGAGACCTGAAAGATGAAGAGACGACTTGAAGCAACAGAAATGTGGTTCTACAGAAGGATGCTGACGATACATTGGACCGAACACGTGAGTAACGACGAAGTTTTGGAGAAAATGGAAACAAAAAGGAACCTAATACTTAATATCAGGAAGAGGCAGGAAAGGAAAATTTGATACTGACGAAACAGATAGAGGGCAAGAGAGACAGTGGAAAACAAAGTATAATATCTCAGAAAGAGACAGTTGAGATTTCGGGGGCATATAATGAGAGAGGAGGGCTTGGAAAATCTGATACTCATGAGACACATAGAGGGCAAAAGGAAAACAACGCATAATATCCCCGAAAGAGACAGCTGAAGTTTCTGAGGCATATATTGAGAAATCAGAGCTTGGAAAATCTGATACTCACAGGATAAATAGAGGGCATGAAGGACGGTGGAAAACAACGCACAATATCTCGGAAAGAGACAGTTGAGATTTTGGGGGCATATAATGCGTGAGGAGGGCTTGGAAAATCTGATATTCACGGGAAGGATAGGGGGGCAAGAGGGACAGTAAGCCTGATCGGTTCGATAAGCTGATCTAAAAAATGAATTACAATCTGCTGTTAAGAGACAAGGAACGACTTGTTAATTGTAATGACTCTAAAACGAGATTTCTCTCTATAAATCATGTAAGATGGCTGATGCTAACCTCCAGGAGAGTGACTCGTTTCTCCTTCTCCGGCTTCTCTGCTGGCATAAAATGGAACTATTATATTAAACCAATGACTATCTAGGTTTACTGCTGAGAAAGTTTGTTCACAGTGTTGTGCTAGACAATTTTACTCCCCAGAAATTATCTTACATATTTTTTTTCTCTCCAGAATCTATCTTAAATATTTATAAGTCTACTATTCGTTCATCCTTTGAATATTGCTGCCACATATCATCCGGTGTCCCTGTTACATATTTAGAGATACTTGACAAAAGAACCAAAGAAGTATCTGCGATGTTATTGGACTTGACCTGGCATCTCGGCCTCAGTCACTTTCCCGTCGACGTAATGTAACTTCCCTGTATTGTTTTTTATTAATACTTTCATGCTAAATGTCCAGATGAACTCTCCGCTATAGTACCTAGACTTTATGAATTTAATCGAAGTACTAGATTGGCAATAAGACCTTGAATTACTTAGATGCAACCGCAAATTCTATGCTAACAGTATCTTCACTCGCACTTCCGGTTGTGGAACTCACTTCCGGCTCTATGCTTACTAGCCAACTTTGATCCTCAAAAGTTTTAATGTATTGTCAGTTGCTATCTACTGTCTTCTTAATTCATCTTCTTTTATTGTTCTCGCTCCTTAATAATGTTTTTATTTCTTTCTTATTCTTTCACAGTCAGTAACCCTCTGTGAAAATAAGTTCAGCAGATATACAGAAATAGAAAGAAGTGTATGACAAGGATGATTCTTCTCAACCGACAAGCTATACAGTAAAGGCGATTCTGAGAGAAATAGAAGTCCTACCAGGATTTATTATTGGCGGCTACAATCTTAAGATATGCAGATGACACAATGTTGATGGTAGACACAGAAAGAAAGCTTCAAAAACTCCTACAGAAGGTACTGAAGGAAAGCGAGAAGAAAGGATTAGACGTCAACTGCAAGAAGACAGAATGCATGGTTGTTAGCAAAAGGGGTGAGCCTCAAGTACGAATTGTAAATCGGAGATATCAATTCCGTATAGGATACAGGTTCGATTCCTGTCGGAGGACGAATGTTTTCTATGAAAATTTCTCGGACATTCAGGCCGGTAAATGTTATAAATACTGTTTATTATAAAACAGAGTATTTACTTAAATATTTGTATCTATAAAAAGAATGTATAAACATAAAAATGTCTTAAAATACACATATACGCTTCCAAAATAAAGAATCTCGTGTATTGAAAATTCAAATAGAAAAAAAGAAGGAACTTTATCAACACACACCGAGATAGAAATGAACAAAATTTAATTGACGTTTGCATCGTGGAAAGAACAGACGGTATTTCTTATATTACAGCGCATCCTCAAAAACAGTTCGTCATATTTTTCATAATTAATATTTCTTCGGCTTTTCATTTCTTCCGGTTCCGGTTATAGGGATCCAGATCCTATACTGTTCTCAAAACTTCAAAAATTAAACAAGACATAGACCCCATATTAAATTACACAACTAATGTAATTTGATTGTTTCAAAAATATCACATGGCATATTGTCGACTACGTCCGCACGTCTGAACGCAATTTGACCTTATGTTGTAGAGTAGTTTTCACAGTGGAGGCTTGTATTTCGCTAAGTCGATCCTAAAAAGGGTCCGACGTACAAAACGTTAGGAACTTGAAATAAGAGTTAATGACGCAGCAATCTAGTTGTGATGGTTGATACTTCAATGACCGACATCGACTGACTCACTTAACACCACTGAGCTCAACTGGCGACCGCTACTACTACTACTACTTATTATGTGTGGGAGAGTCTATTAATAATAGAATAGGTACGTTCAGGTATGACACCTTATCAACAGTACAGTTGCGCCAAAAATTTAAAAATACTTCTGGAGCCTGTCACGTGACTTATATTGCTTATATAAACAACAAACAATTAAAAAATCGGGGGTGGAGAAAAAATCAGCCTGGAAAAGCTACACGCTACGTGACGGCACTCACCATAAAATAACTTTCAATTGAAGTCCAGACTATAAGTTAAAAATCCTTTTTAACATAACCACAGTTTATTTCCTTCATTCAATGCAAACTAAACTTACGTCGGTAAACAACGAAGAGACAGACACTCAAACGTCAAACATAACGTAAGTCACGACCACACACGCTTTTCCCAGAAACTTTGAACTGTTTATTTTGAATACAAACAATAGTGCATTGAAGTGAATTTTTCCAAATGGCATAAATTACCTTACAACTTGCAGTAGATCAAACTAGAAAATCACCTCACAAAAAAAAAATCTAAAAAGACAAGTTTATTTTACCATTTTAAACAACATTCATAACTATTATTTACATTATTCGGACTATTGTCCTCATCTTTGTCGCCATATTTATTACAACGTCTCGGCTGTTATACGCCCCGGCCTTCTTCAGGTGGTTGGAATGTCGAACTGAACTCTTTATTTCACTCACTGGGGTAGACTGTTCTAGTTCCACGTGCCATGTTTAATGGATGTCAGTTATCAGTTATCTCCTGTTAATTTTCCCTCTGAAAGTTCTCCACTGCCTTAACCGGGTATTGAATCTAACCAACGCCTTTATCCACTGTGTCATGTGTCCTTGAGGACATGGCACAGTGGATAAAGGCGTTGGTTAGATCCAGTGACAGAACCCAAAGAGTGTGAGTTCAATACCTGGTTAAGACAAAATTAAAAATTGTAACGATAAAATAAAAAACATTTTTAGCGTTGATGAAAAATTCTAACGTTGATAATAAAAATGATAACGTCGATGGTAAAATAATAAATTTTAACGTTGAGGATAAAATGAAAAACTTTAACGTTGATAATAAAATAAAAAATTGCAATGAAAAAAATAATAAATTGTAACTTTGATGAAAAATTCTAACATGTAACGTTGATGATAAGAATAAACAATATAACGATGATAGAATAAAAAATGTAACGTTGATGATAAAATAAAAATAGTTACATTGATGATAAAACAAAAAATTGTAGCCTTGATGGCAAAATGAAATATTATAACTGCCATAATGAAAAATTATAACGTTGATAATGAAATATTAAAACGTTGATGGTAAAATAAAAAAAAATTACGTTGATGATAAAATAAAAACTTATAACGTTTATAATAAAATAAATAATCTAACGCTATTGATAAAATAAAAAATTGTAACGTTGAGGATAATATAAAAGTTGTAACGTTGATGATAAAATAATAAAATGTAACGTTGATGATACATGGAATTTTGTAACATTGATAATAAAATAAAAAATATAACGTTGATAATAAAAAAATTTAATGTTAATGATTGAATAAAATATTCTAACGTTGATGATAAAGTAAAAATGTAAAGGTGATGATAAAATAAAAAACTGTAACGTTGACAACAAAATTAAAAATTTAGCGTTGATAACAAAATGAAAAATTATGACGATGATAATGAAAATTGTTAAGTTAATGATAAAATAATAAATTGTAACGTTGATGATAAAATGAAAAATTTGAACATTATCAATAAAATAAAACATTGTATGATAAAAAATAAATTGTAACGTTGATGATAAAATGAAAAATTTGAACATTAATAATAAAATAAAACATTGTATGATAAAAAAAATAAATTGTAACGTTGATGATAAAATGAAAAATTTGAACATTATTAATAAAATAAAACATTGTATGATAAAAAAAATAAATTGTAACGTTGATGATAAAATGAAAAATTTGAACATTAATAAAAAATAAAACATTGTATGATAAAAAAAATAAATTGTAACGTTGATGATAAAATGAAAACTTTTAACGTTGGTAAAAATAAAAATTGTAATAAAATAATTGTAACGTTGATGATAAAATGAAAATTTGAACATTATTAATAAAATAAAAACATTGTATGATAAAAAAAATAAATTGTAACGTTGATGATAAAATGAAAAATTTGAACATTATTAATAAAATAAAACATTGTATGATAAAAAAAATAAATTGTAACGTTGATGATAAAATGAAAAATTTGAACATTAATAATAAAATAAAACATTGTATGATAAAAAAAATAAATTGTAACGTTGATGATAAAATGAAAAATTTGAACATTAATAATAAAATAAAACATTGTATGATAAAAAAAATAAATTGTAACGTTGATGATAAAATGAAAACTTTTAACGTTGGTAATAAAATAAAAAATTGTAATAAAAAAATAATTGTAACGTTGATGATAAAATGAAAATTTGAAATTAAAAAAAATAAAACATTGTATGATAAAAATAAATTGTAACGTTGATGATAAAATGAAAAATTTGAACATTATTAATAAAATAAAACATTGTATGATAAAAAAAAAATTGTAACGTTGATGATAAAATGAAAATTTGAACATTAATAATAAAATAAAACATTGTATGATAAAAAAAATAAATTGTAACGTTGATGATAAAATGAAAAATTTGAACATTATTAATAAAATAAAACATTGTATGATAAAAAAAATAAATTGTAACGTTGATGATAAAATGAAAAATTTGAACATTAATAATAAAATAAAACATTGTATGATAAAAAAAATAAATTGTAACGTTGATGATAAAATGAAAACTTTTAACGTTGGTAATAAAATAAAAAATTGTAATAAAATAATTGTAACGTTGATGATAAAATGAAAAATTTGAACATTATTAATAAAATAAAACATTGTATGATAAAAAATAAATTGTAACGTTGATGATAAAATGAAAAATTTGAACATTATTAATAAAATAAAACATTGTATGATAAAAAACATAAATTGTAACGTTGATGATAAAATGAAAACTTTTAACGTTGGTAATAAAATAAAAAATTGTAATAAAATAATTGTAACGTTGATGATAAAAAAAAGCACCGAAGGGAATCTAATCTTAGGAATTAACTTTGATTTGAATGAAGCAAGTAATGTCCAAATTCCCTGAAACTCGGAAGCATTACTAAAATCTTTCCCGGTTGCTTCTGGCACGGCTGAAGGCAAACACCATTGGAAGATGTGGAACCACTTTATTCGTTTCCTTCGGATAAAGACTACGTCGGATAGATGAAGGCGGTTGAGGTGTGTTTGTGACGAACAGGAGGGAGAAGACTGTGGGGTGGTTGAAAACAGAAACGAGGTGGATGCAGTGGTTGGGAAGATTTGGAAGATATTTTGAAATTGAAGAAACCAGATTAAGAAAGAAGTGAAGAGAACAAGAAGAGAAAACGAAAACGAAAAAATATGTGTGGAAAAGAGAAGGGATGTTAGAGTAGAATTAAGTGTAATTAACGTACATGAAGGCATATAAGACCTCTTTCATATTTAATATTACAGAATCTGATATTTGAGATAGAGTTTGTCAATGTATAAGTACTTAGAGCCTATGGTGTCTGGGAAAACATTAGTCTATCACAAACCGCAACTTTGTAAAAGTAACAGCTCAGTTTTCTCTATACTTTATTATACATTTATTGATCGACTGATTCGCTTTCTACAGCTTATAAATCTCTACGATTATTTAAAGCCAGAAAATATTTTTAGTTAGTATTATATTAAGCGTAATTGTGGCAGAACAAAGAAGAAACGACGGAGATTTAAGAAATCCTTCTTTTTATGTGCCGTGTCCTTTCAGGACGTAGGCGATCATGGCTCTCCACTTCCTCCTATTCCATGTAGTTCTCAATAAGTTTCGTGTCTCTGCCAATTCCCCCAGCTCACGTTCTTTCATCTACTTACTTAAGCCCGCCAGGTATATCAAGCGCTGCCTTCCCTTGTCTCTTTTTCCCTCTATTCGACCTGTGAGTAACAGATTCTCCAGGCCCTCCTTTCTCATTACGTGTCCCAGAAATTTCATCTGCCTCTTCCTTATGTTATGTATAAGCTTCTTCCTTGTTTCCATCCTCTCCAAGACTTCATCATTGCTCACATACTCACTCCATGATATCCTTAGCATCCTTCTGTAGAACCACATCTTCGCTGCCTCTTCTTCATCTTTGAGGGGACCGTCCAACATTCGCTGCCCTATAAGGAGGACAGATGTCACGTAGCAGCTCAGTAATCTTTTCTTTGTCACCATAGAAAACCTCCTGTCTCGCAGTACTCTGCCCAGCTCTTGGAATGCATCCTTGGCCATCCCTATCCGTCTTCGGATCTCAGCGTCGCGCCTGCCGCCCTCCGTCAAAACACTTCCCAGATATTTAAACTTCCGTACATGCTTGATTTTAGCGTCCCCGACCTGCAAATCGCATTTCGGGCTACTGCGGCGACGGCCTTTGGCGAGTTGTCTTTGGGGATGGGAGTTCGCGTTCCGACGAGCGTTGTGAATCTGGGCCTAAGATGTCCATTTGATGCGCCTTTATACCCTTTTTTAGACTCAGATCGGCTCCAATTTTTATTTGTTTTTTTTTAGGCGGAAGTGAGTGCTATTGGGTGGAAATTCTGGATTTGATTTTCTTTGTGTGTAAGTAAAACGGATGCTATGTGCAGAGCCGATGCGCAGTTGACGGAATTTTTAGTTCAATCTTGGGTTTCGGAGCGTTCACATCCAGCCAGTGGTGGAAATTCGTGTAACATGAATCAGAAGATCTGGTTTTAGGAAGATTATAACACTAGTAAGATTTTCTTTTAGATAATAATGGTTTAGTGATACAAGTTTTACTAATTAACCCATAGCCGAGGGAGAAATGGTGGATTCATACCTTTCCCAAGGGTATTTGCGCGAAAGTTAATATAACGAACGCGACTGGAATTGGAACTCGGCTATCCGATTAACAATTTTGAGCCTTAATACATTACACCACCCGCACATCCAGCACATGTATTTGTGTATATTTCTGAGATGAGGTATTATGTAAACTATTTACATTATTCAGTCTATTGTCCTCATCTTTGCCACAATATTTATTACAACGTTTAGGCCTACTTCAGGTGGTTGGAATGTCGAACTGAAAACTTTATTTCGCTCACTGGGGTAGACTGTTCTAGTTCCACGTTCCATGTCTAATGGATGTCAGTTATCAGTTATCTCCTGTTAATTCCCCCTTTCCAAGTTCTCCACCACCTTAACCAGGTATTGAATTCACACTCTTTGGGTCCTGTCACTGGATCTAACTAACTCCTTATCCACTGTGCCATGTGTCCTTGAGAAGAAAGTCGGAGAGTACAACGGCCGAAAGGTTGTAATAAATATGGCCACAAAGATGAGGACAATAGTCCAAATAATGTAAATAGTGAACATAATACCTTTTCCCTGCTATTTTAAGGAAAGTGAACAAAAGATGCATTCAAAAAGCTAAGCAAAATTTTAAGAAACAAGAAAATTTTGTCAGAAATAAAAGAATCCACAGCTGGTACTTAATATTAGTCCTATCTATCTATCTATCTATCTATCTATCTATCTATCTATCTATCTATCTATCTATCTAAGGCTGTTGATATCTATCTATCTATCTATCTATCTATCTATCTATCTATCTCCTACATGGTAGTGAAGACTGGACAATCTCCTTACAAAGAAGAAACTTGAAGCAACAGAAATGTGGTTCTATAGAAGGATGCTGAGAATACCACTTAATATCTACACATTTTGATGGCAGACACAAGAAGAAAATGCTAGCCAATGTAGTAGAGACAAAATAGAAGAAAGGACTAAGTATCAGTTGTAAGAAGACAATGCGGTCCACTCTGCTATTTAACTCATAGATGGAGAGAGAAGATATAAATGTATACACTTCCCATTCTCTCTCTGTCTTTCTCTCTCTCTCTCTCTCTCTCTCTCTCTCTATATATATATATATATATATATATATATATATATATGTTTGCTCACGTGTCCTTGAGAAGAAGGCCGGAGCGTACAACGGCCGAAAGGTTGTAATAAATATGGCCACAAAGATGAGGGCAATAGTCCGAATAATGTAAATAGTGTATATAAAACCTTTTCCCTGCTATTTTAACGAAAGAGATAGATTCAAGTCTTTTATAAATGAATGAAGGAAATCCATCCAGGTTTAGAACTCACCTGATCAATTCCATGTGCCGTGCTGGAAATCGTTATCCTACCAGCATCAACTTTATTGTGGACTAGGCCACCCGTGACCCTTTGGGTCAACCTTGTTGCTTTTACTGTTTACATTTAGTTTCCTGAAGAGTTTGTGAAAGTAGAAATATTTAAAAAATATATTATTTTGCAGTTGGTTTAGGAAACATATAATACATTTGATTAAACTTTAGGTTTATTTACAAAACAATTTATTTACAATATTTTTTTGCTCGTTTAAAGTATATTTTGCAACCTAGGGAAGGTTACTGAATAGAATAATCAAACGAAGATTGGTAATGAACGATAATACTCAGGACAAGAACAACACATATAAGATTCGCCAGCGGCGCGTAGAAGAAGTAGTCAACTGCTAAAAGTGAGTCAACTGAATTCCATAATGAATCTACAACTGTAGGATATCTACCAACCGCTCCACGCGGACAGATGTGGCACAAGGCCGAATTTGGGGTAGCGAGCCGGTAACCTCAGCCAAAAATTCCCCGTAGACCCTGTATAAACCGGGTCGGGTAGCTGTTTCCCAAGACGAGACTCTTCCCTTCGACATAGCCTCGTCTGTGGATCTTCTCTGTCCGGAGGCAGAGAGTTTGACCAGCCCAGCTGGAGACAAATCTCCAACTTCAGACCGACATACAGTATTTACTACTGTATTTATGGGAATGGGGGCATTACAACAGTATACTACCCTTGACCCGTTGAGTCACTGAAAGGTTCAGATTATAAAACATTGAAGTTGCTTTCAACATTAAAAAAAATGTTCTGTTTGAAGAAAGTTGAAATAAAAATATTTAAAATATTGTTTAAATATAAGCGGAAATATAAATAAGCACGCACGCAATCACGGGAAGGTGGAAGGAGAGGGAGGTGGAAGTTGAGAGATGGAAAGAGAGAGCGTTTTTTTTTCTCCATTTCCTTCTCTCCCCCTTCATACACGAAAATAATTTTACATTTTTCTGTCACCCACTCCCTACATTTGACTTCTGGCAAACACAAAAGCAACGTTCACAGACTTTTATAATAATAAATATATACCATTCTTTAGGATCACTAACTCCGACTTTCACATAGACCTTGGTATGACGATAAACTACATCCTGCAAGGCCTCTGATCGGGAGGTTGGAGGTTTTGAGCAGCATGGAATTACATCTTAATTGCTACTGTTCCCTGACCCACCCTGAATTGGAGTGGTAGAACCTGTTAGGGTCCCATCAATGGGCAAATAGTGAACATCCAAACTGGGATCAAATGACTATGAAAGTGTAAAAATACAAGCAATAATCAGCAATATATTTTATAGGAAAATGACCAAAATTTCATTTTATACTAAAACGACCGACAATACGTTCTATAATAAAATAACCAACAATACATATTTATAATAAAATGGCCAACAATACATTTTATAGAAAAATGACCAACAATTCATTTTATAGCAAAATGACTAGCCATCCATTTTATAGTAAAATGACCAAAAATACGTATTTATAGTAAAATGACCAACAATACATTTCATAGCAAAATGACCAACAATACATATTTATAGTAAAATGACCAACAATATATTTTATAGCAAAATGACCAACAATACATATTTATAGTAAAATGACCAACAATACATTTTATAGCAAAATGACCAACAATACATATTTATAGTAAAATGACCAACAATACATTTTATAGCAAAATGACCAACAATATATTTTATAGCAAAATGACCAACAATACATATTTATAGTAAAATGATCAACAATACATTTTATAGCAAAATGACCAACAATACATATTTATAGTAAAATGACCAACAATACATTTTATAGCAAAATGACCAACAATAAATATTTATAGTAAAATGACCAACAATACATTTTATAGCAAAATGACCAACAATTCATTTTATAGTAAAATGACTAGCCATACATTTTATAGTAAAATGACCAACAATACATATTTATAGTAAAATGATCAACAATACATTTTATAGCAAAATGACCAACAATACATATTTATAGTAAAATGACCAACAATACATTTTATCTGTAGCTGAAGGCATATAATTGCTTTCAAAATATACTTAACTGATGCCATAAAAATTGTGTTAAAATGTTTAGATTTCGTCATTAAATAACTCATAAAGGTTTAAACAAAATCAACCAACCAAAACGTACTAAATCTCACCTTCCTTCGTCCACGGGACTGAATCACCCTCATTCCCTACCGATGGTACATGTTCTTTTATTGTTCTCTCTCCGTAATAATGTATTGGTTTACGGCCGCATCACGTTGAAGAACAGGTTCCATACAATCACCAAAGTTAAGCAACATCGACCTTGGTCAGTACCTAGGTGGGTGACCGCTTGGGAATTCCAGATGCTGTAAGCTTGGATGTGCAGCTGCTACAGTGGATAATGGCTTGGAATTGTTAATCGGAAAGCCAAGTTCCAATTCCCGTTTGGTCCGTTATATGCGCTTACGCAGGGAAAGGAAAAAAAAACCTTGCAGCCTGGCTTTAAATAACTTGCAATGGGTTGATAAACCATAAAAAACAATTCAATAATAATCTTTTCTTTTTTCATATTAGCTGTTAATAAATACGAACAAGATCCCCAACTACTAAATGTTAATGAGAAATAATACAATTAAAGTGCTACGTGGATTACGGCCACATCACGTTGAAACATATGATTGCCGAAGTTAAGCAGCGTCATGCCTGGTTAGTACGATGATGGGTGACTTGGGGATACCACGTGCTGTAAGCTTGGAGATGTAATGGATAATGACTGGGAATTGTTAATCAGAGAACTGAGTTCGAATTCCAGTTGGGGTTGTTATATTCACTTACGCACATATACCCTTGGGAAAGGTATGAATCCGCCTCTTCTCCTCCAGATATGGGTTAATTAGTAAGACGTCTATCTCTAAATCATTACCACCAAAAGAAAAAAAATCTTACAATCTAAAAATATCTTCTGGCTTGAAATAACCTGCAAAGGGTTGATAAGCCGTAAAAAATGAATGAATCAATAATAATGTTATCTTTTTCTCATATTCCCTTATGCTCAGCAAGATTTTGTGTCTTAGTGGCTTTATTGCTTTGCTTGGAGTGAAATGATTAAAAAAATATTTTGAAAGAAATGCGTTCAACCCTGAAAGATTTCTCTCAACAATAACTACAGTGTGGAACAGACTTCCATGTTGATTCTTCGCGGAACATTCTTAACCTCTTCAAGTCTAGGGTCAATTGTTATCTATCCGTTATATTGTAGTGGACCGTGGCTGTGATGTTGTTGAGTAGAAATAGAAGAAACGCATGTGGGTTCAGATTTTCCTGCTAGCAGGTCCAACTACACAAGAAAGTTGGACTTTTAATTAAGTCCAAAGAATGCAAAGAAAACAAACAAAACACAAGACCGATAATATATGTATACAAATATATATATTAATAACAGGTTACATAGAAACAGTTACAAAAGGACAAAGTGTGTGTGTGAATATTATATATGTGTGTGTGTGTATTGTGCTTAGCGTGTTCCCAGCATTTTGGGAAACGCTATCTCTGTGAGTGTTCACATCTTCGAGGTAATAAGGCTGAAAGCCTGAGGCAAAAAAAAGAGATTTACCTCAAGGTGGCGACCCAAAGGCCTGAGAAAAATGGAGGAAGAGGCAAAGGGTCAGCGACTATTTATAGCCAGGGAAGAGAGACCCCTGGTGAAAGGGTTAACGAACTAAAGGAGGAGTTAACTCCGACGAGACCCCTGGTGAAAGGGTTAACGAACTAAAGAATTTAACTCCGACAATATCATCATAATATTCACTTCCTTGCTTCTCTTATGTTTATATCACACACCTAATTCAGTAACGCTCTGTCTTGAGTGGTTCTTGAGCCTTGTATTTGATGAACTTTAGTAAAAGAAATATGGTAGATGTACGAATTTTCGGTTTAAATAAGATATGCTTAATACTACAATTTGAACATAATATGGTATTTTTAAATAATAATGACAATGAAAAGGCAGTAAATAATTTTAGTCCTTGAAGCAAAAATCTTGTCTGGGAAAATCCATTTAATTTTCCTCAAAGACCTCACAGAAAATCCATTTATTTTTCCTCAAAGACCGCCCAGAAGAACACGTGAATGACTAAGCTCCTTAAACGGTAAAGTTGTGAAGAGATAATGGCAGGCTCCGCTTCAAGTCTGCCAAAAGCCAGCGGCATTAGCATCAGTGCTAAGAAGAACCAGCCTCTTGTTTTACCATTAATGATAAGAAGTAGTTGCTTCCAGAGAACTCTTGGCAGCTGAGGCACTGACGTGGTAGATATGGAAAGACGTTCATGCTGTAAAGAGACAAATTAGCAGAAGGAAAAAGAATATTTACTGTGTTTGGCGATGTTCCCGATTAAAGCCCAATTGAACGAGATCTGAAAATTTTAGATAAGTAGATAGGTATATATATATAAATATAAACAGACTGAGGTAGACAGATATATAAATAGATAAATATGAACAGGCTAAGGTAGATAGATATATGAATAAAATATCGAACATGAACAAATAGATATATATATATATAGAGATACATGTGAACAGACTGAAAAAGATGAATATGGACTGATATATATATATATATATATATGAATAGACTGATATATATATATATATATATCTATATATATATATTATGCACTGTTACATTACATACCCACTATATATATTATGCACTGTTACATTACATACCCACTACAAAACTGTACATTTTGTTTCAACGTTAAAAGTTTTTTTCAACGTTTCATCAGGTGGGAAATTACCATGCTGTTTTGAACGCTGAAATCTTACTCTCCGTTCTTTTACATTTGGATTATATATATATATATATATATATATATATATATATATATAGAGAGAGAGAGAGAGAGAGAGAGAGAGAGAGAGAGATTATGAGAGAGAGAGAGACCACGAGAGAACGAGACAGAAAGATAGATATGAACAGACGATATATATATATATATATATATATATATATATATATATATATATATATATATATATGGATAGATAGTGCGATGGATAAATTGTCGTCTAAATTACGCAAAAATGAAAATAGCACTAACATCTCACTTTAACAGATATATTTACCAAAATTACACTATCATACATTGAAATGCTAAAGTGTAAATTTAATCAATAAAATCACCAGCTTCCAGACGACTTCGGAATCTTTTGCATCTCTTCTGGATGGTCCCCTTGTTTAAGTTCGTGAAATCTGCCATGATCCTTGCCTTCGGTTCATCTTTGCTGTTACAAGGAGTCTTGTTGGTCTCTCGCTCAACTGCGTCCCACACAAAATAATTAAGGGTGGTTGCAGTCTGGGAGTGGGGGTTAGGTGGCCAGATGTAAGGGGTGATGTGGTCGCAGAAATTGCCTGACAACCATGACTGGGTTCTCCTGCTTGCATGTCATGGTGCAAACTCCTGTTATCAGACATAGATTCTTCCAGCAGCCACCCTCTTGACCCAGGGCAGCACTACCTCCTCAAGGCATTTGATGTGAGTCCGTGTTGAGTTTGAGACTCAGTGAATGGAGGAATAACGTCGTCATCATTAGTGATCACTTCAAACGCTATGATGTTGACTGGATATATCATCCAACTCTTTCCGAATCCTCTGAACTGTCCTCAGATTGACACCCAAACACTCTGGAAAGTTTGTATTAGATTTTCCGGTGCGAATGCCAAGCAGTACAGCATGCCGTTTCCAAATTTCTTAAATGTCAAAGATCATCCCCACCACAAGTTCTCTCGTTTCACTGAGCACAAACTCAGTAAACTCACAGCACAAGAATCCTCCAGACGTATCAAAGGCCTTGACCCTGAGAAAGCCGCTGGTCCAAACAAAATTGCAGTGGATGTCTTTAAGAACATCAACCAAGAACTATACCCAGCCTAATCCTTGCAAAGTTATTCAGTCGTTGCTTGAAGGATAAATTCTTCCCAAGCCGATGAAAAGTGTCAAGCATATGCCTGGTTTTCAAGAATGCATGCATGCGATCTTCCCCCTCCCAGTAAAGAATCATGGGTCTCCTCAGTATCATCAACAACTCTTTGAGACCATACAATATAAGAGGGTCATGGAGCACCTAGAAAAGAACAACCTTTTCAAAGACGTGCAGTATGGGTTTCGGTCGGCTCGATCCACTGCCTACACACTAACAACCATCGCTCACAGAATCAGTGAGTCTCTTGACGACAAACACACCTGGAGGATCATTGCACTAGATACTTCAAAGGCCTTCGACAAGGTGTGGCACAAAGGCTGACTACACAAGCTTCCCAGTTATGGAATCGCTGGAAGGTTCTTCTCGATCATAAAATCCTTCCGAACACGTAGGTGCATGAAGGCAGTTATCAGTCCTCTGTAGCCCTAGAGGTCAACGCAAGCATTCTTCAGGGGTCACTCCTCGGATCAACCCTCTTTTTGATTTTCGTAAATGATCTGCCTAAGAATATACCCAGATCATTTATAAACATCTATGCCGTTGATACGACTATATACGGGCGCACTTCGGAAACTCTCGATGGTCAGAGATTGGCGACTGATCTCAATTCCAATCTTGCGCAATGGGGTAATAACTGGTTGGTTACATTCAATGCCCCGAAGAGCAAGCTAGTCACATTCGATCATCGTCGATCTGACCCCAAACTGCTGCCAATCAAGATGAACGGGGGTCCTCTCGGGGAAGCACGGTGCCTTGAAATTCTGTTGGGCCTCAAACTCACAGCCGACCTCAAGTAGAACTCGTACATACGATACATTGCTAAGGATGCAGGTAAAATGGTCGCCTCTTTGTATCGCTCCAGTAAGTACCTGACTCCTCCTGCTATCCTCTAGTTTTACAAGAGCCAGATCAGGCCAAAAATGGAGTACTGTTGTTATATTTGGGCGGGTGATGCTCAGACCTCATCCCCCAGTCTTGGTGGAGTTCAAAAGTCTCTCCCACTCCTTGTGAGTGACGAATTATTCTTCACCCTTCAACCTCTCTCTCCCACAAGCGGGATGTGGCAAGCCTCTCGCTGCTTTACCACTACTTCAACGGAAGGCGCTTGAACGAACTGCATTCCCTAGTCCCGCCAAGGCAAACCGTCACAGCAAGAAAACGCCATGCCACTTACATATTAGCAAACCACCCATATTCCCGCAAACCGACTCCCAACGAGATGTTTCCGCGGTCACTATAATCTTAATCTGTCCAAGGCCAGGGTTAACCGTTATCTTTCATTCCTATACGCACAAATGGCCCCCAAACGTATCCCCCCTGCCTCGGGTACCATCACCCCTGGCCCTTGTAAAGGGTGAAACTTTTTGTAAAAAGATATGAACAGATTG